TTTTAAAATAAAAAATAAATGTTGTAATATTTAAGTAAACATGATTGATAATCGGACTTCGCCCGCTCTCATGTCGTTCGCCATTCATGTTTAATAATATTATAAATGTCATTGCCATCCGCCATTATGCATAATAAATAATAGTGTGAATCGAGTATGACTAATGCGTAATAATAATATCAATAAATATTAACTTATTGTTGCATAATGTCACCTAATAATAGGCTAATATTAAACAAATGTTGCGACGAGTAAACGACGATTGACGATTTCGACGCGCACCCGCGCTCATCCCCCGTTTCCCGTTTCTCCTCGCGGTTCTCGCAGATGGTGGAGCTCTACAAGGGATATCGGGTGTTCGTCACGCAGCGGCAGATGATCGAGATTCTGTCGAAGCGTAAGGGCGAGGCGGCGGCGCGGTGCCTGCTCATGACGTTCTACCGCAAGCACGAGCTGCTGGGACGCAACCTGACGGGTCGAGGCAGCGGCACGAAGAGCGCGCTCGACCCCGCCATCACCAAGAGCATCATCGGTGAGCGTCGCCGCGGCAACGCTGCGCAGGGCTTCTTTACCCTAAGAGCATCTCCCAGCCGATCGCTAGTTCAACGTGATTGGGGGGGGGGTGATCACGCCGTGCTGATTCGTACCGTGTCGTAGCGTGGCGCATCGTAGCGTACCGTAGCATAACATGTTGTAGCGTACCGTAGTGTATGATATCGTAGCGTACCATACTGTAGCGTAGCGTACTGTAGCGTAGCGTACTGTATCGTAGCGAACCGCAGCGTAGCGTACCGTACCGTAGCATACCGAAGCGTAGTGTACCGTAGCGTAACGTATCGTGGCGTATAGCACTTCGGTCCGTCCCTGCGTCTTACTGTGCCGTTCTTCCCCGTTGCAGCGTTCTGCATCGACCGCTTCCCAGAATGCACCGCAACGAAGATCAAGGCGGTGCTGCGAACGTGCATCACACGCATCGAGTGGGAGGCCAAACATGGCCGCTTCAACCCCTCGCTGCAGTAGAGGGCGCCACCGCCGCGCGGACGTTCGCGCGGCAATGGCGGCCGAACACGACCGAGACGACCAGGGGGAGCGATCGCAGCGTCTCTTGCGGCGTTCTCGAAAAAAATCTCGCCGCTCGAGAAAATGGCCGCCGCCTGATTTCGCAGCGTCGCCGCGCGAAATGTCAGTCGCAGCGCTGGGCTGCACCGTACGACCCCTGGTGGCGTCGCACGCGAAACCTCGCCCAGCCGCGCGCAGCGACCCCTAGTGGCGCGTCGCGAGACAGTGTAGCGGCGGACAATCGCGGTGTCACCTCATTTCCACAGTGCGCGCGCCGCTCCAGCCTCCGCCGCCGCCGTCGGACACCAGGTGGCGTTGTCGTCTGCACGAGCCCGCAGAGTCGCATGGGTGGTGGCGCCGGTGTCTGCTCGCTCACGGGAAACATAGGTGGCGCTCCTCTCCATCTGTTGCGCGCAGTAATGCAGGTGGCACTCATGTTGGCTTTGCAATCCCGGAAACATCAGAGCAACGTCCGCGTCAGTCCGGCAAACACACCAGCAGGGGGCGCAACCGTCTCTATAGAACCGCCAGGTGGCGCTACCGTTTGTCTACCGCCGCCCGACGGTCGATTTACGTAGCGCCACGTCATGTAGGTGGCGCTACCGTTTGTCTACCGCCGCCCACATGCATCCACTATAGGTGGCGCCGCTGCCGCCGCCGCCGC